GTGAAGCATGTGTTCTCACCCGTTGCATTGGCAATCGCAGAAATGTAGCACCTAGCGACTAACAATAATCTTGACACACACACCTGAAGCGATGATCGAATGACTAATTATGGCATACTTCTGGTTCCTACTCCAGTGTTGTGCAGACTACGCAGTTGTACTCAGTCATACCACAGTATTGCAAACAAGATGGAACAATTCAAAAATTAAACATATCAATTCATCTCGGCCGTTTCCAGCATTTGAGTCATTTCGCAGTATTCGCAACGTACGTCTAATACTCTCGAGGAGAATCCCTGGTATCTATGATGTCTCGAGGAATTCCGACTAAAGTAATCTACCTCAACCACTCTTCTCATTATAGATGACACCGGACATCTGTTGACTCGATTGTTAGTGTCATGACTCAGGAGTTGGGTTGAGTTAATGATATTTTGCAGGAGCACGTACCAAAAAGGGGCCAAGATACGAAAGAGGAACACCGGCATCATCGCTGTGAAACATGGGTGTGCCATAGCCTCTCTGATTGGGGCAGTTCTTGAACTCGGGCGGGTTGGTGCGATCAATGAGCGACTGATACGGGTTGTAGTCAAAGTTGAACTCGCAGACGGGGATGTTCGACTATTTGCATATTGTGGTCAGCGAAAAAGGTCAAGAGAAGGGGCATTCAACAGATGAGCACTTACGGCGCAACTCAGTGACAGATCCTTCACATCAAAGGATTCGGAGCCATTCTTGCCTTGGCATTGCTGGGAGTCGATGTAGAGCTCATGCGGCGTGGTCCAGTTCTTGGAGAATGCGACGTCCAGAATTGGTTTCATCTGGTCCATGCCAATGTCTGTAGATAATGTCAGTATGGGTAAGAGTTGCGTCGGCTACGATCCGTGGAAATGTAACGTACCATTTGCTCTCGCAAGGCCATAGGAATCCTTGCCATCGTACCAGATAGGGCCGCAGGTGCCGTAGGTATCCAGGTTAGTACAGTCGTACGGGTCGATAGGAATCTTGCGGGGATCAACGCCAGGGCTATAGACTAGTTAGCAAGTTTGGGTTATTCCGAGGAGAATCGTGAACTCACTTCTTGACGGCAAAGTAGTCTGCTTGCTGCAGCGCCTGGTTGAAAGTCCACTTTAGAAGGTTGTGGTACATGAAATCGGTGTTCTCAGGCAGGTTGGTGTTCATTTTCTGTTGCAAAACGGTCAGTCTAAGCGCTTCGAGTCGATGTTGGCTGTAGAATGTGTTTTCCCACCTGGCTGAAACCGCCGTTGGAAACCAGAGAGTAGAATGTGTCGAAGTCGGTTTGGATCTTAGTCAATGCCTCGCCAACGTTCTTCTGGTACTCGTTGACGTTCTCTGAAAGAGCAGCTGAGAGACCTTCCCAGGGGACCTCCTGGACCTGCTTGGTGGGAAACAAAATGTTGAACAAACCAGCTCCACCACCGAGGGCACCGGTGAGAGAAGCAAAGACCATGCTAGCGGCGAGAGAGCTACCGAGCAAAGGACCCAGAGCCTTTTTGATTGTCAGGACTATCACTTTCTCGTATATGATGAGTTATGATACTTACAGCAAATTGACCAAGTGCAACGGCATAGATAGGTCCGAATAGAGGGGTTTTGGGGTTCTTGGTCTTGGGTGGCGAAACAGTCTTCACGATCTCGGCGACCGCACCACTATTGGTGAAGAGTCAGCAATCCAGCATCATATCATCACCAACGCGAACTTACATTGCGGTAGCTTGGCCGTTCAGGAGGGCTTGGTGATAATTAGTGAAGAAAAGATTGATGGCTAATGTCGCGATGATGTCAGTGAAGTTTCACAGGCCGCCAATAGCACGAGTGCTCACAATAAATGTTCCAGAAGACCTATCAAAACTTTATTAGCAAAATTGGAGCGTTTGCAAAGCTTGTAGAACCTACGTAGAACTCCTGGTATGAAGCATAATCGGCGTTGCGGCCACTCGGGGGCGGCGTGCATCCATTGAGGGCAATGAAGTCACAGCTCCACGTTATGTAACCCTGTGCTGGTGTTAGTCGGGGCACCTGGGCACGAACATGGTGGTCTAGTGTAACATACAGCTGAATCGAGATAACATTCAGCAAATCCCTTCTCTGCCGTCTTGCATCTAGCAGAGTTCTTGGACCACCAGTCCTAGTCATATTGTCAGTATGGACACCATAGACACGGTTATGTATCTGAGCCTACGTTAAGATGGTTGTTCATCTGCAGAGTCTCCCAACACCCAGGCTGAATGCTATATTGGTGACAAAGACATTAGCAATTGTGGCATGTCTATAGATAACTCTTGAAACATTATGTATCGTACCCATCTTCGGAATGGAAGGAACAACTGTCAACGGTGGGATTTGCGCGTTCATCAAGCACTTGAGCCTCAATACGCGGGATCGATGCAACCGGAGACGCGCTCACGGCGAGTGAAAAGAGAGTGACAAGGTTCAAGAGAACCATTATGATTGTATGTTGCGAGCTGCAACGCGAACGAACAAGAGAAAGACAGACAATAGTGTCGAGCACTAGCTTTCGGAAAACAGCAAGAAGCCAGGGCATAGTAAATAAAAGGCACCTTCACCCACTTCGGCGAGTTGCCGCCGTTGCTCGATGCCTCTTTGGGGACGTGCTCGCATGATTTCGGGTTCCCCGCAAACTGCGCTAAAGCCACGACCCAGCCTTCAGGAACAAGGTTTGATGAAGGATGGCTTTGCAAGTATTATCCTGACATGAATCAGGTACACATAAGATCGGCGTTCAACTTTCTTTGATTAAAGATAACGCGGCGTGTCCAGGTAGATTGGGAGCCAAATGAGTTGAAGTAGTTAAACTGCCAACGCGAATTTACGCCTCAACGTCCCTCGTGTTTCCTCGGAACCGGTCCAAGCTGCGAATTACTCGACAACTTATTTCGAGGCTTACTAGTTAATTGCTGCCCAGAGACACTTTGAGTCAATCTCCTGCTGTCAGCCTTCCAGGCCTCCCGTTCCCACAGCCTCTACCGTTCGTCCGACGTTCTTCCCCCGTCCAAGCGTCATTAGTCTGATAAGAGTATTACAGCACCCAGCACTCACAGACGGAACTATCCTCCGTCGTCGAACTTATCACCAAACTCTCCAAAACTTCCTTCGGCACTAGTTCTTCTATTTTCCATCATGCGTTCTACGTCTATTCTTCAAATTTTTGCGACCTCAGCATACGTTACTATTGCAGCAGCTGACAGTTGCTGTTGGGGTGACAACTGGGCCGATACCAACTGGCTGTGGCTCAAATGGGACGAACCTGCAGGAGTCGTTAGATGCGGCTTGAGTGGAACATTTCCTGCCGGTACGAAATGCACCATCGAAAACTCCAAGGACGCAAAGGGCAACCTCCAAGCGTTGACAAACGTCACATTTGGCGGTAACTCCGCACCATTCAAGTTCCGCATTGGCATCAACCCCAACAGCTGCGACCCTTTGCCTAGCGATCAGGTCGTTACTGGATGGGAGGGCTGGGGAGCAAATCTTTTTGAAGGCCATGACTTCACGACGCAAAGACTTGACGCCTGCACCCAAGATAACTCGGCATAGACTACATGTAAGAAATCCGGGTTGTCCATAGATTGAGGCTTTTCTAACAACGTCCAGAACCAACGTTAAGGAGTGCGAGGTTATTGGAGAACCAGATAGAGCCATTGTGCTGGAGGAAAGGTCGTTGGATTGTTTATTGGAGAGCCTTAGTAATGGCTACTCAAGTGACGGAATTGTTTTTTCATGTGTGCGGGAATGCTCGCAGAATATCCCAAATTCCTAATGATATTACGTCTCAGTGCTACATCTTTCACATTCGATTACGTATTCAATAAGTCAGAACTTCTGATTCAGCAGCCTCGTTCTGACTTCCTAAACCTCGCGTTGACAGCTAGTTGCAACTGCAACTTTCGGCCGACTTACTCTTCTGCCTGCCATCTTCTGCTTTTGATCGACTCTCAAGTCTGTTCCATTCTGCCCGCATTGTCACGCGACTATCTTCCTCCGCATGCACGGGCATCAACTCCACGTCTTCCCCCCTTTTGTTGACCTGCTTCAAGCTTGATAGGAAGGCACGGGAAAATACGAGTAAGGTTAACATGTGTCACTCAATATCGCCGCGTGACAATTGATGGAGTTAACCAACTAGTCACGCGTCGCCAGGGGATGGATCTGGGAACCTGCTTGTTTCCGCGAATATTATTTGCGGAATATGGTTCAAGTGATAAGCGGTCTCGCTCAGGTCCCGTGATCTGTTGATCAATGCTGCTCGTACTAAGTGGCTTAGCAATTTATTTTGCCTTTCTATATCAAACACTCGGCCGTTGTCTGAGCCGCAACCAAGCTTCTGCCCAAGTGCCCGCTTAGTTTGACTCGCGCAAACGCCGTCCCATCTTTATCATTTTCAGGCTCTCAGCTGTCACATCACCCCGCGATACGAGATTTTTTCCAGAGACCGAACTAGAATACCAACGACTGGGGGCGGTCTCGTCCGTCATGACCCGCATATTGTTAATTGAGGTAGTATGACAAGGCGGCGTGCAGTAGCCGCCCGGCGTCATGGAACGGCGGGATCATCGGATGCCACGGGGGGAACATGATTCAGGTCGGATCATTCCCTATCGTGGTGGAGAACTCCCCAGAGCAATGGCCAAGCTGCTGCCATTATCCTGACATTTCCTTAGTTTATTAAGTCGGATTGATCCACGCGTCAGGGACCATCCTTATCTGGTCTAGTTGTCGAGCTACTCAAATGGCAATTGAACTCTCCCGCATTTCCTAAATTACGCCCGCGTCCACTCCAAATAGCAGATGCAGGTACATAAGTTTAGTCTAGACCACAGTTCGGCCCAGCCCTACAGTACTTGTTAACCTCACATCATTCCCGCAACCGATCACTGTGTCTTACACTCAACTCTCACCTTCCTCAGTTGCTCTCCTCGCTCCTCTCGTGGTCAACCTTAAATACACCATCCAACAACATGTTTACGAGACTTTTATTCTTCTGTTTCTCATTGACGCTCCTCGTCTTTCCGGTGTAAGTCAGCACCGCTCGCAACCCAAGCTTAGTTAGATCATGACTGACGAAACCAGTGCGCTTGCAAACGAACACGCCAAATGCTACTGTGTTATCAATGATGTATCTCATAAGTGTCTCACGGAAAAGGCCTGCGATGTTTACCGGACATCGCAAAAGATCTTCGAGAATGACAACCCGCAAAACGTTAACACCACAATGCTGTGGCACGTAAGTCGAATAGGACCTCCTCAAATTGATTTCAAGGCATGATTCTGACATTGTCATCAGGTTTGCGCAACTATTGCTCCTAAGGATGGCGGCCGGACACGGTACGTCTCTGGATTTGGCGGCAACGAGTTCAAGGACTCTTGCATCCAGGCTCAGAACTCCGGTGTATGTGCCGACGCCAGTGGTACTATTGGCTCAAAGTGCGATTAATTTTGGATTTTATCATGATACCAAGTAAGAAGGGGCTGAGTAAGCACGGAGTGTAGAAATGATACCATCAGCGTCGACCGAAATGTTGGAGTGATTTCAGCCAGTCAGATTGTATAGGAGGATTGACTCGGAACGGTACATGATTGAGAAGCATGAGTCTTAGACTCGATATTCACGGCCTGAGATAAGCACGCGTTGTTGCAAAAGTCTTTGACAGACTTTTTTAATGCTGAATGTTTACATCTTACCAAATTTCTGGGCTTGCAGAAGCTAGTGATCATATAATCTGATATTTCTCATGGTATCTCGACTCTCAATCATGCTTACTCTGCAGGGGAGAATGCATTCTTGTCTGAGTGACTGATCCTATCTTCGTGCACCAAGACATGTGCTCAAGACCACATCGTTGGCGGAAAAATTCGCACGATTCACAGATGCAACAAATTGCCAAGAGGCCACATACCTTCTCCCGACTTTCCTAAAACTAAGATCTTCTAATAAAGGCAGACAGCTCTCTCAAGAAGTTCCGCAGCAAGCTCCATCATCTTATTCTTCGATGACACTTTGTGATATCCCGCCCATTTCAGGTTTTTACCTACCTTGGGTAACAAAACCTCGGGGTGAAGGGTGAAATTGACTATTACGAAGTGAGGATTGGAACTATCCGAAAAGGTCTCATCAACAAGAAGAGTGAGGATGGTCCGGTCGGAATGTGTCATCACGGCCAACATGTTCTCAGCAATCGTCGATATCAATGATCAAGAACTGAGTTGTCTCGATATCTTAACAGACTCAGTGCAGACTTTTAGCCTCCGACTCTGACGTTAGCCTTGAAGACTAGATTCGTCTTTCAGAAATTTTATGCTAATGACACAGACATTTCGCTGAGGCAATCTAACCTTCTGATCACGAAGCAGGATACACAGGCCAGTGCCAAGCTTTGTCTCAAGCTTTATCGACCCGCCAGACTCCAGAAGCCAATCGTTCATAGACTTGCTTTTTTCCTTTCTTGAATTGTGAGGTACAAGATAGCGAGTTAGTCGGACAAATCTCCGCTAATTTAACTTGGAGCATAGAGAAGTTTGAAGGGTGGGCAGAAGGTTCGTCGTATTCACGTCTGAGTTATTCTAAGCGGTCAAACAGATTCGGCCGATATTTCCACCGCAGATTAGGGTAGAATGAAGACCGCCAAGAGTTGAAAAAGTCCTATGACCGATCAAAGCTTTCATCTTCCCCAATGTCTCGCTGTCCACTTCTATCGTGGGGACTGCTAAGATAGGCTTTGCGGAGTACTTTAGCTTCGAACTCTCCAGTCTGACATTCGAATTGGCGGTCAAGCATTGCTCGAATAAGCATGAAGTGATTAGTGAATCAACACCTGGTAGGAGTTTGTGTGTCTACTTCAAAGGCCGCGATGATTGGCATTACGTGTAGACGAGAAACAAATATCGCCATCGACGAATCTAGGACACAAGACGAGTGTAAGAGTTTTGGGGCCCCGGTCCCCCCTGACCAGCGCTCAAATTCCGGATTGAAAGGATAAAAAGTTGGAAACTAACGGAACGTTCCATCAAATTCAGAGTGGGAGACGAGGGAAGACGAGGGCTTTCCAAAGGATGTCAAATAGCCACGTGATGACCTCCAAGTTGCGAAATTGAATATTCATGCAGATGGTAGATGAGATGATGAGTTCAGATGACATAAGCGAAACGCTGGTCCCCCATATGGCAGGGATCAGGCCCTGGCTTAAGTCCCACAAATAATGAGGTCAGCTCTTGGCAGTTGACACTGGTCGAAAACGCCAGCAAGTCAGTAAGCTCGGTCGCGAATTGACATCACATCTATCGACTGTTGATCAGGTTTCCGTCGACAACGTCGCGATCTTTCTTCCTTACTCGTCGTTCCACAAGATAGTTGGACCGCCTCAAAGGGATGCGCAGATCATCACAATGTCAAACGTTCTCTCCCTTCTAGGCTGGGCCTTCTTGCCCAACGTACGCGATACCTGCCGCACGACCTAACCCCTCCACATTGAGCATCGCAACGACTGACATCCCTCACAGCTAGTCACCGGCTGGGTCCAAGCAATCTACTACGGTCTAGCAATCCGCGCCGGTGATCCCAAGCCTCAGCCCGGAACCGCGAAGTATGCCATCCACCGCCGCCGAATCCACATACTCGTCGTCTCCTTCTACCTCCTCTACACCCTTGTTGAGGCCGACCGCACCCTCCGCCTGCAAGGGACCTTCTACACCGACCTCGACGTCGCTGCAAGTGCCCCCGTCCGCATAATCAAGTCTCGCTTCCGCCGGCTGGCGGCCGTCTACCATCCAGACAAGGCAGGCACAAATGGCGCTGACACTGGCGCCGCCGCTGCACGCTTCATGCACCTGAAGACCGCCTCAGAGACCCTCTCCGACCCAGCCCGTCGCTTCGCCTACGAGCGCTTCGGTCCCGAGGTCGGCGCCTGGCAGGGCTGCAAGACCATTCACGACTTCGTCGCTCGTGGCATTATGCAGGGAACGATCCCGTACTACGGCATCGCGGCGGCTGCTACTTACGGCTTGAGTCTGCTGGGATACCTCGACTGGGGACGATACTGGCGGTGGATTATCCTTCTCACCTTCTTCGTCGCGGAGCTCATCGTTGTTACTCGGCCCGAGATGCCGCCATTCCTAGCCATCTTCAACACAGTGCTGAGCACAACCCTGCGCCGCCCACCCTATCTTCAGTTCCAGTTGGTGTCGCTCGCTCGTCAGGCCGCTGTCACGATCTACATCGCCTTCGGCCAGCTCGGTCCTCTGCTGAACTCTCAGGGCCAGGCGGCGCAAAAAGCGGCCGAGAGCTCGGCGGCCGCAGTCGATGAAGGCCTACAGCGGCTCGAGATGATGGCCCGCGGTCTGGACGGCGAGACGAGCAGGTTATTGGAGATGGAGATGACGCCGTTTATCGGCGATAAGGAGGCGCTCAGCAGCGTGCGTGCCAAGGTCAAAGATTGGTTGGTTCAGAACACCATTAGGGCGGACCCGATGGTCAGAGATGCGATTGGCAAGCAGTTCCAGAAACGCAGGGTCGATGCACCAGCTGGTGCGAAGGGTAATAGATAGAGCAGACATTAGACGCGTGTGTACTCTTTTGGTAGAAAATCATCATTCGGCGGTCGACACACCACCTCACACTTTACTTGGATGTTATTCTCGCTTCCCGCGTGAGATCCGACTGCTTGTCTTTTGCTGTGGCTGTTTCTTGTGCCCCTTACGAGACGGGGACGCGGTCAGACGTTGCCTATACAACCGGTGAAATCCACAATCTCAGTGATATAGGAATATTTCTCCATAAGCTCCAAGGCCACCTGAGCATCCAATTAATCATATAATTCATAAAGCTGCCCAGCATCATGAGAATCTCCCAAATGTGGCGCATGTGGCTGAAAGGTGTGGCTTAAATGAGGTTCGAAAATATCTCAGAATGAACCATTACTCACCAAGTCATGGCAGGTTGACCTATACTACGAGGAAGTCATGAGAACCAAGATACTGGAACTAGCAGTCGCGAACTTCAAGATTCAACGGCTAGTTAACAGCGATTAATTCACAATGGCAGTCGCATCATCATGGCACCTCTTACCACCCGACCTAATCGAACACCAAATCGGCCAAATCGACCTCCTCACAGCAATGTACCCCACAGAGGATGAGGTCTCAATCGACAAGGAATCCGAACAATCGCTACAACTCCTCAAAACACACATAGAACAAGGCGATGAAACCACAAATCTGTTATTGAGCCGCGCACCAACAGTGACCATATTACTCACACTCACCGTCCCAGAACCGGATCAAGACCCCTTATCGCCAAAACTTTTACAACTAGACATCACTGTACCCTTCTCATACGAAGCCGACGAACCACCAGAAGAAGCGCCTCGTATAAGAGTCCGAATCCTCCAACCAGCATGGCTCAACCGCGCAGCAACCGCCCACCTCAACACCCAAATTCCCGACGGCGACGACGACCTCTTCAGCATCATAGACGCAATAAACGAGTCAGCAGTAGCGTACCTCGAAGAAGCAAAAACAGCAGCAGAAGCCGAGTCCGCAGTCTCCAATGCTGCTGCCACAGCTGACGCAGGTCCCATGGTGCGGGTGTGGTTCTACTTCCCCTCCATCTCAACCCGCTCCAAGCGCGACGACTTCATCATCAATGCGCCCGCGTACCACCTCACGGGCTTCCTCTACGCCGGGAAACCTGGATTGTTGTGTCTGGAGGGCGGGTCGCAAAGCATCGACGACTACATGAAGTTCATCAAGACGGAGAGCTGGGGCGATATCCCTGCACATCATAAAAAGGTTAGCGAGAGGCATCGCGAAAAGGACATTTCGAAGAGGGTCTTTGCGGATATGTCAGAGATTACGGACTCTGTAGGTGAGAGGAGAGGACAGAGGGCGAACAAGGGCGATATGAAGGCTATGGAAGGGTGGTTGGTAGAACGTGGGCTAGGGGATGCTTTTGCGAAGGTATTGATGTAGATCATGTAGAACAAGAAAGACCGAGGCACTCGGTGTTCAATCGCAGGTCTTCAAAGCTTGTTTCTAAGAAATCTTGTATATCAGGGAACTTCCACACCTCCTTTACCCTTACATTCAAACAGCCCAACAATCACAACCTCTGCCGACCCCTCGTCTCGATGGGAATCAGACACATCCCGACAAACGCCGCCAAAATCAACGCCCCAGACAGATAAATCGGCGTCGTGACCCCATCCCCGGGCATATTCGCCGCCAACAACGGCGCCAAAAGCCCCATGGCCCTGTTCAAGAAGCTCGCCACGCCGGTTCCGGCCCCGCGCACCGGCGCGGGGAAGATCTCCGGCGTGAAGGCGTACAACACGCCGTACATGATATTCTGGGAGAAAGCCTCGACGCAGGAGAAGAAGAGCTGAGAAGCGGGGGAGGAGCCGAATTTGACAAACATGAAGAGGAAGACGGCCGAGACAAAAGACGAGCAGGCGAGCGTGCCGCGGCGCCCGAGCCAAGGGGACTTCTGGTCGACTAGGTAGGCTGCCAACAGGCTGCCTGGCACCCCTACGGCGGAGGTGATTGCGTAGGTTCGATATGTGTCTGGCGTGATTGGTGTCGCTCCTGCATCTGGGGAGTCCTCGGGCGGAGGGGCAGCACCGCCATGGGAGAGATACTGCGGGAGGAAGGCGTTGAAGAGGGGATAGCCCATGCCAATTGTCGCCCAAACGAACCAGACCACCACAGTGGCAAGGCCGAGGGTCCGAGTCTTGAAGAGTGGCCGAAGTCGGTCTGCGGAAAACGCCTTCATTCTCTCGCGGAGAGCGTTTGCGGCGACGCCGGACCCGCGGAACACTCCTGAGCGGCCAGCCCTTGAATGGTCTTCATCCTCGTCTGCCACGCCATCGACTACTGCATCCAGGACCTCCTCGGTCAACCAAGTCTTCGCACCGTTGCGAAAGGCGATGCCATGTACGACGGCAATAGCTTCCGACTGGCGCCCTTTCGAGAGCAAGAATTTTGGAGATTCAAACAAACGAAATACGAAGAACCGAACAACAAACATGATGAATGTAATCAGCCCAATAGTCAAAACGAATCTCCGCCATCCCTGTTCGGGAGGCCAGTTGGCAATGAAATACCACGCCGCCAGCGACGAAGACAGCTGCCCGACCGGCCACCACACCGACAGCAACGTCAGTAGACTGCTCGATGCGTCCGGCAAGAATTCGAGGAACAGTGCTCCATCCACTGGCAGATTTCCGCCGACGCCAAAACCGAGGGCTGCAAAGAGGAAGTTCACCCAGCCCCATGTCGGTGCAAAGGCCAACAAAATGCCAAAGACGCCCGTGATGAGAAGCGTGAGGTTGAAGGCGATGCGACGACCCAAGACATCAGAGCCGATGCCCCAGATGAATGACCCAAAGCAGAGTCCAAGAAATATTGACGACGTCGTGTAGCGCACACGCTGTTCTGAGATGCCAAACTCCGCGGACAGAGAAGGGAGAGTGAGTGCAACACCCTGAAATTGTTGTCAGTATCTTTGGAGACTCCATGGCTACTTATGGGAACCAGGCTGAAGCTGAACTTACGTGCATCCACAAACTAGCAAATCGGTTAGCATTATCCTCATCATAAGGTGACAGAGAGACTCACTTATCTGCGAACCAGCCAAATCCACAAAGGACAAAGAGCTGCCAGTTATACCGCCCCATGCCAATATCCTGAATGGCCTTGTTGATGAGCTTCGATTTCACTGTCCTCCACATCAGTACCCATCTCACCGACCCATCGGGTTCTTCTTAAATGCTTCGTCGAAGATCTCAAACTCACACTCATACTCAGTCCATCGTCCTTGCCCACCTCTCCTAACCTCTTTTCTGAGACCCTCGATGGTATACTCGGCGGCGCTCATCTCCAGCATCCCCGCGCTTTCACTCTGGGCCTTGCCGTCATCCTCTCCGTCGTCGTCCTCGTCCTCACTCGGCCGTTCCTCGAATTCGCATTTGCCAGTCCGGGCCGAGTGACTATGCAAGTGGGCTTCTTCCAGCGGTACCACGACGCCGATGTAGTCGTTGACGGACTCGGGCTGATCCGACGCCAGGCGCCGGATGATGGAGCGCAGCATATCCGCGGATGTGAGCGTCTTTTGCAGCGAGTGCAGATTCACAGAGATGGTATTCGCGCGCCCGTAGTGATCAAAACGCGAACTCAACCTCTGTCACACACGATGGCGATGAGTCTCGGACTCAGAAACGAGTTTCCCGATGAATCCGCCGCTGGTCGTCGTCCTTCTCTCCTCCAACCTCAAATCACCAGAATCGTCCCACGCTCCCCAAACACAGTCTCAAAGCATTCGATACGTAGAAACCAGGCTCTCGACGGCTTTTCTACATCTTCCGATGGAACAAGAACAAAGATGGGTTAACAGACGCGGATGAAAAGAGTCACGAAATACAGGTGATGGTATAATATCAAAAAAGAGCACGAGAGCGGCCGACGACGAGATGAATACGGACGGAACACAGTGTTACCTCTAACCTGGAATGGTCGCTTGCTCTCTGTCTTACCTCCCGGCACACCTGACTAAAAGAAATGCACACCCCGTGGTTTAGCGCACTTAGGTAATCCTCCGCCACGCTCAGGTAGCCCATAGCGCCTTCGGGAACCTGGGCGTGCCGTCAGGGGGAAGCTGCGGCTGTTGTGGAAAAACAGCCGGGGGAGGTTGCTGGTACTTGGAAGGTTCGAGGTCGTTAACAGAGTCGGAGGTATCGGCCGCATAAATGTGTTAGTCCAACACAGGACTTTGAGGATTCGGGGGTCATTGAACGGTTGCATTCTCGGTCACGGGCGGGAAGCAGAGGATCAGCTAGTGTGGGGAACCCTGTCATCTGCACACCTCTCGCATCAAGGCCCGAAGTTTGCGCAATGCTTATCCGCAGGTTCCTACAGATAGAGCAGTGAGCGCTGAGCTCTGTTGTGGACATGCGTGAATTTCGGTGGATGAGAAATCACCGTGGGATGGGTGGACTGAAATACCGTCTATCAGCTGCTCAAAAAGTATTCATCCATGAGCTGAAAATGATGTTCCGCCCATCTGGCTAAACTAGGAGTTGAAATCCTCGGGAAAGAAAGTCTCAACAGGGACTCTATGAATGCCAAACGCCACCAGTATCCTATCCCGGATTCGAACGCCTCGTCTATCCCGCCGTGAAAGCTCATTGTAAGATTCGTCCATACTTCGTATATTGCACGAGAGCCTGACTTCTCAAATCAACTCTCCATCCCCGTCATCCGCTCCATCTTCCTCCTCTTCCCAATCCATAGATGCCGCTCGCCTCTCGGCCTCCCGCTGAACCTCTGCGAGCCCAGATAACTCGGCGACAAAGTCCTTCTCCAAAAGCGCCTTCTTGACGAACCCCCAGCCGTCGTTTCGGTAAGCCTCTAAAATCGGTGGGCCACACGCACTACAGCAAGGGTACGACTCTCCGCGAATGACCTTGTTGTTGAAGTTATGCAGGTAGCCGCGGACGGTATGAGGCACAAGTCCAAGGGCATGGTCCACGGGGTCCTTCTCGTCTGCCGACGTC